CAAACTCTTTCACAAAACCAAAAGAGAACAGCAATGATATAGCTATATATATCCACAGGACCATGGATATCTTGAAAATGAAGAAAGAAAATCACACAAATAAAAACCATATTAATTACCTCTACACACTCACTGTTTTCAAAACCACACTTCTCCATCTCCATCCATAATATATCCACGTATCCAAATTAAGCTGCTAGAGTTTCCCTCTCACCAACTACACCATTGATCAACTCTTCTTTTTTCTTTGTACTTAAATTGTATAACATTCATTGTGATAAGGACTCACATGGGTCCTCTGCCTGCTTTTAACGCACAATAAAAAAAATAATGTACTAGGTCTTATATTTAGTTAATAATGAGATTTTGTCATTATAAACAAATTAAGCAAAGATTAACAATTCTTAAGAATGTGCTACGTTTCCCTAGCTTCCATTGCAAACTTGTTACTTGTTTATTCCTGGCTCCAAGATATTTTCAAAATTAATTTTGAGGGTTGCTTACATTAAAAAAGTTATATTAGAGAGCACATATAGTATGTTTTATAGTTTAAGATTGTCAACACATTTTGTCTCTGATGCATATTCGTTATGGTAGTAATATAATTTGATTGATCCAAGTATATCCTAATATATTTCTAGACTCCTGTCTTGTCTTTTGCTCTTTATTATATACTAATATGATATCACAATTGACGTAGACGATGAAGATACTATGTAAAATTGCCCAAGAAAAAGATAAGGGTGGAGAAGGATTGATATCAGCTCAACTAGATATGAAAAAAGAATGGATAAAGGATAATATTTTTTGAATAATTTATAATACAACTTAATTTTTTGAGTAAAATTACGAATCTTTAGAAGAGATTTTCATGCAAAATTTTTAATATGCTTATGTGAATACTTTTGTCATATAAAATTATATTAGAGTCATCATTAATCTTTAGTATTTATTTTTTATTTTAAGGCTATCAATAATTAATATGTCTTGTAGTCTTGTGAAAAGTATGTGCTCTATGCTGAGCTTATACAAACCATCTTAATATTAAGTATTTGGTTATATTTTTACTAACACATCAATAATATATTATCGTATTTTTTACAAACTTAACACTACATTTAATGACTAAGATAAATAAATTGACGATCGATGATTTGATCTAATAAACAAATGTGTTACATTAAGTTTGATATAATTTAAAAAATAAATGTTATGTATGCAAGTATATAAAAGTATATTGATCCCAGTTTTACACACAAATTTTTAAAAAATTAAATAAAATTTATGGTAAATGTAATAATCCATGTTTATAGATTTTAGCTGAAAATGAGTCTGGCTTATTTTATAGTAAGAAAATAAATAAATAAATAAATTTGATATTTAACCACGTGCGTTGCACGTGCACAAGAACTAGTAGGTCATGGGTGGACGTTGTTTCTATTTAAGATAAATGGGTCATAAATGGGTGGGCTATTACCCGCCCATTTACCCATTTAGATGAGTATTTTTACAAAAACACCCTAAAAGTTTCAACAACTACAAAAAATATTTTTTAAAGTTTAAAATTATAGAAAACACCTTAAATAAACTAATGACCAGCACACATAAAATTAGAAAATTACCGATAGCCTTAAAATTTTAACATTTGCAAAAAACACCCTCAAAGTTTAAATATTATAAAAAACACCCTAAAGAGTTTAAAATAACAAAAAAATTCTCAAAAATTTCTAACTTCACAAATGACATATGAAATCATAACATTTACAAAGCCCATATAAATTTAAAAATTTACAATAAACACCCAAAGTTTTAGAAAATGAGAAAAACACTCTTAGGGGTTTAGATTTATAAAAATAACTTTGAAATTTTAAAACCTAGCTAAGGTACATGGAAATCTAAAAAATTACCAGCAACCCCCTAAAAATTTATAATTCGCAAAAAACACTTTCAAAGTATAAAAACTTGTAAAAAACACCCTTAAGAGTTCAAAATTACAAAACAATCTCAAAAATTTCTAAACTTGCAAATGACACGAAATCTAAAAATTTTTACCAGTCCCTTATAAATTTAAAATTTGTAAATAACACCCTCATAGTTTTAAAAATTACGAACAACATCCTCAATGTTTTAAAATTATAAAAACCACCCTGAAATTTCAAAACTTACGAATGATATAAAATCAAAAAATTACCAGCAACCCCTAAAAATTTATAATTTGTAAAAAAACACTTAAATTTTAAAAAATTACAAAAAACACATTCAATATTTAATATTACAAGGGGATGTTGGAGATTTCCAAATTTCATGTCATTTGTAAGTTTAAAAAATTCTTAGAGTTTTATATAATTTTAAACTTTTGAGGGTGTTTTTTGTAATTTCTAAAATTTGAGGGTGTTTTTTACAAATTATAAATTTTCATCAGGCTGCTGGTAATTTTTAAATTTCACTTGTCATTTGTAGGTTTTGAAATTTCAGAGTGGTTTGTGTAATTCTAAACCCTCTAAGGGTGTTTTTTACATTTTTTTTAAACTTTGAGGGTGTTTTTTGCAAATTTTATATCTATAGGGCACAAGTGGAAATTTTTAGATTTCATGTGTCATTTGCATGTTTAGAAAATTCTGAGATTGTTTTGTAATTTTGAGCTCTTGAGGATGTTTTTATAAGTTTCTAAAAGTTCTTTTGCAAATTATAAATTTACAGGGTGCTGTTGATAATTTTTGAAATTTCAAGATTGTTTTTAAAATTCTAAACCATTGATGGTGTTTTTCGTGTTTGTAAGTTCAAAAAATAGGCCCCTAAAACTTTTTTATATATAAAAGTCTAATAGCTAAATGGATTATTTGCAAGAGAACTTTATAATGTGCCCACCCATTTATGATCCACCCAAAACCACCCATTTGACAACCCTACATGAAAGCAACCTTTTCAGTAAGTATTTCAGGGGCCAAGTAAACTTGCTTTCGAAAAAGTTAACCACAACTACAAGAAGCGGTTGACAGCATTCTTACTAGTAGGCTGATCTCGATACATTCAATTCAGTATTAGAGGCAAGCTTTCTTTTGAAAGAGTCAGCTTCCATTTTTGTGGCTTATTTCGCTCCTGCTCAATTATCATTTCTGGTATGAGCTCAAACCCCACAAATTTTTTTAGGTTAGTTTTTTGTTGTATGGGTAACAAGGTTGAGCTGGTCTTAATAAGCAATCTAACAATTAAAGTCTTTTGTCAAATACGCTACATACCAATTTTCCACAGAATTAAGATTCCTTATACCGTTATACGTCGTCTCTTGAAACCAACATTTCCAAAACGTGCTTCCACAGCCTAGTAAACTTGCTTACGAAAAGGTTAACCATAAATACAAGTTAAACAACAAATTGATGGTCCTTCATTTATCTATCAGTAAAAATTCCTTAGAAATTACCAGCTCGTATAAGATTTCTGGCAAGTAGAATTCAAGATAAGTTGTGAGGGAATGCATACATCCAAGATGAAGAGGAGGGCCATAATTGGGGGGGCCGCATAGCCGAGCCCGTCGACTATAGCTTTGAGTGACGGATCAAAACCGCCGGTGTTATCTACTCCGGTGATTGAGCATATGAAATTCCCTGCTAGGGCCATCGCTCCGTAGATACCTAGTTGGAAGAACAGACACAGGGTTCGATTAGTTGCAAATACAGCAAAAGAAAAGGGGGGAAATATAGTTACACCGAACATGATGAAGTAAAGTCAGCATGCTGTAAAATTTAGAAGGAGAAAGTTCAAGAGCATGCCGTACCTAAATTTTAATACTTTGAAATTAGAACCTAAAATCAATTAATTTCACATACAACTTGGCCAAATTGACGGCTAGCTAGCCTCAAAATATGATGATTTTGAAGTTTAACATTTGAATTTGTTGGTTGGTAGAGTAAGAGAGCTGCAGAGCAAATGAGTTTTTGGAAAAACAAATTTTTTTTTTTTTTTTTGAAGATTAATTCTCCAAATCTGCAAGTCTAAACCAAGAATTCCCCTTTCCAGATCGCACCATCTGCTTCGGTTACTACAGAAGCTTGGGGCTAAAAACAAATTTAAAAGTTGAGATTCTAAAACAAATCAAAAGCCTGAGATTAAAAGAACCAATTTTCCCTACTTTCTTACAAAAAATAAAGAACTTTATACTGAAATCCTACTTAAATTACAGAAATAGCCCCGGCGCCTCTGGATAAGACTCATAACAACCGTTGGTTCCCTATATACACATGCCTTCCGTCATAATCTAAAAATAAAAAAATAATTAAAAAAACTTATTCTCACCGATCCCATAGCTGAGCCTAACAACCGCCCCCAACTTCTCCCAAACAGCAATCTCAGCAGCAGCAGCAGCGTCGCCTCCGCAAAGACCTCGATTCCAGCGGAGAAGCTCGACCTCCGGCGATCCCCGCCTCCGCCGCCGCGAGCGCCGTCGATGCTCCCCTCGCTGCGCCCTCGACCGAAGCCCGAACCCTGCTCCACCGGCGGCTGCTCCGTTCTCTCTCCCTAGCTTCTCTCGTGCCGAGCTTGATGCCCGCGACCGAAGACGACGAGGAAGAGGAACGAGACGCGAGAGAGGATAGAGAACAAGAGCGTGACACAGAGCAGCTGAGCTCCATCGATTACTTCGAAGCTTGAGATCTCATAGCATTTTCTTTCAAATTTTTTTTTTCCTTCCTCCTTTTTAATATAATAATAAGCGGGAGTCCGTCGTCTCCTCTTCTTATATTATGTTCCGCGTGAGTCGGTGGGGCCCAGCGTCAGCTATGAAAGCTCTCTCTTATTTTGGCGCGTTCTTTTTGCCGTGGCCCGCTTTGGTTCTGTGGGCTGTGAGGTACCCCTCAAGATATGAGATATCTAAAGGACAAATTTTGAAAATCAACCTTTTTGATAATTTAAATAGTAAAACCGACCTTATATGGTTTTATTCAGCAAAACCGACCCTTCTCGGAAGAAAATGGTCGGTTTTGCTGCGGTGTAATTTTTACGAAATGCACGAGACTGCTAGTCCCGTGCATTTCAAAGCTGAGTTGAAATGCACGGGACTAGCAGTCCCGTGCATTTCATTTGAAATTGCATCAGCGATCTCCTCCGGTGGCAACAAAAAGACCCATTGCTGGACCTCCCATGGAAATCTCATTCAATCCCCGACAAAGCCCCCACCCTTGACAGAAATAGAGGAGTTGAGCCTCCGACAGTCCCTTAACAGGCTCTCAACCCTCTGCAACCGCTGCGTCGAGCTCAACCTCTCGATCCTAATCGAAGCAGAGTACTCCACAGTGCAACTCGCGATCGACTACTTCACGTACTCTGCGGCTCTAGAATTCAACAAGAAGTCGGGGTCCGGGAGCGCGATGGTGCTGGGCACGGTGCAGTGTTACGTGAGGGACGCGAAGGAGAGGCTGGCGGGGATTGTGGGGGCAGCAGAGAGGGAGGGGTTTGTGGTGGGTGTTAAGCTGGTGAGGGGGGTGTATATGACGAGGGAGAGGGAGATGGCGGCCACGTTGGGGGTTGAGTCACCGATACATGGGGAGAGACCCAGCATTTTTGTTGCCACCGGAGGAGATACCAATTTCAATTGAAATGCACGGGACTGCTAGTACCGTGCATTTCAACCCAGCTTTGAAATGCACGGGACTAGCAGTCCCGTGCATTTCGTAAAAATTACACCACAGCAAAACCGACCCTTTTCTTCCGAAAAGGGTTGGTTTTGCTGGATAAAACCATATGAGGTCGGTTTTGCTATTTAAATTGCCAAAAAAGTTGATTTTCAAAATTTGTCCATATCTAAATTGTATGTCGGAAGCAGGAAGCTAAAGTTTATGTTTGGCTAAAAATGCGAAGGTGCTGTTTGTTTGCTAAAAAAATTGAGAAAACCCCACGCCAAGTCAGATTTTAAGAAATCTCCTTCTGTCATGTAGGATTTTGGTTTCAACTGATTTTTAAATCACATGTTTGTTTCGTTTTGTGATTTAAAGAAATGAGGGTGTCACGTAGGATGCCACGTCGGATTTTTGAGAAAAAGTGTTTTCACACCAAAAACCTCTGAAAACATGCACTTGGAAATGTTACTTCAATGAATTTTTAATTACTAAAAGCACCATTGAAACAATGACTATGAGTAAAACAGATTATTTAATATCTAAAAACACTATTACTATTGCGGTTGATTTTCATTTCCTTTTTTTTATGTTCAAACAAACACAAGAAATAAAAATCGAAATATTATTACTATTGCAGCTGGATTTGTTTCATATGTGACGTGGCGGTGACGCAAGGGTGATTTTATTGCGAAACAAACATAAAAAAAAAGAAATGCGGGAAATGTCTTGAAATCTCTTGAAATGAATTGAAATGTGGGGTTTTCATTTTCGATTTTTTTCGGAAAACAACCAAACAACCCATAAATAGGAAAAACGAATCTTGGAATATATAATATCTTGTTTGGTTCAGTTTCTAAAAGGGGAAAAATAAAATAAAATATGTTTATGATTATCTTTGATGAGCTCGCTACCGGCATAATGCCAACATCCGATATTATTAGATAGGGGTAATCGTACCCAATCTTTGGGGAGTAGTGTTAGGGGCACACCATTAAACCACACTATCAACCACACCCCTCTCTATCTATAGTGTCTTTATGATTTTTTTAGTAAAACATGTGGGGCCCAACAAACACTATAGATAGAGAGGGGTGTGGTTGATAGTGTGGTTTAAGGGTGTGTCTCTAGTGTTTCTAATCTTTGGGTGGGCGATGATATGGTAGGGTGTTGTCGGCTCTTCACCTGAATTCCTCTCCAAAATAAAAGATTTTTGGCAAATTGGGTGTTTTGGCATTTTGTAAAAACTATTTATTACTCTTCTCTTTCTTTTTTGAAATAACCAACATATTAGGAATCTTATTATGCAACAAAATGTTTTTTACTTTTTTTTTTGTGCTTTTGCATCCTACGTCCATAAATTTTTGGTGAACCAAATAGCCCCTTAAGATATTCATACATTCGCGAGCATAGCTTTAATATTGTAGTATTTTAGGAAAAACATGAGCGTCGACATGTGTGGTTTAATTTTAATTTAAGAGTGTGATCGTTTGTAATATCAGAATCGTATGTGTGGAAATAATTTTCATGCTTGTTGCCTATCGAGTAAGATTATTTTTCATTATGGTCCTTAGATTAGTAATGCGATACAATATATATAGATGCTATTATAGCTTGATGTAAAATTTACATGTCATTTGTTCAATGACTTGATATAATGTAAGAAGCATTGCAATTTATCAGACCTAAAATTTATGCGTCGTCATCTCTAGTAAACAAATGACAAAAAATGCGTGAATATGCATGTTTTTCCGCATGTGCAAAATGATGAAATGGGTTTTCTACCCCTAATTTCTCATCAATATCTTTGCGGAGGGATGGTATTAACCGTATTATAGCTCCTAAACTGAGATAATTAAGCAAGTGGTTCTTTAATTTCAAACTCTGGATATACATCACCAAGTCTGTGTTTTTCACATTTATTTTCTTCTTCGCTCATCGTTAATTAAAATCAAGACTTTGAACATGAATTTTTTTTTTTTTTTTTTTTACAATCCAGATTGCAATTTAAAATTTGATGATAGACTTCAGCCGTTGTTTTGTGACTTCGATCGACCTCTCCTGTACTAATTCGATGGTCACAATCAAAACGTAGTCAGTTATCCTGTCATATCCTTTCTCGTGCTGGGATTGGCCATCATATCGCAGATAATATATATCTAACCAATAAGAGAATGCCACGTGGAACGACGATAAGAGGTACATCCACGGTGGCAATTGGGCCCATCGTGTTCGCAAAAGAATCAAAAACCCGACGTTCCTTTCTCTTTCTCTTTTTTTTCCCGCAACATAGAGTCAAACACACGTTGCCGCTTTCTGAGCACACGCTTTGGACGAGCGAAAGTTTTTCTTGGGAAAACTTTCACATAAACCCGCAACTTGTAAAACGTTCCCCATGAACCCATCCTTATATTTAATTTTCCCGGTAGAGTTTTACACCTTCCCCAAAGAACTTTCCAACGTTAACACCGTTAGTCTTGGACCATAACCCCCATTCATGGTTCGGTCTAGCAGTAGAGATCCGTGTACTGGCTCTTGAGCAACAAAAATATATCCTCAATTGAGTCAGCTCGGATGAGAAAAAATATTTTAGATGATTTCATAATCTTCTAATATCATAAGCAATATTAATTCAACGACGAGTATGTAAGATGATCAGGATTTGGATCTTGACCTGTGCGCAAGAAGAAAGAAGGTTGAGATTTCATAGGAAAATTTAGGGAGGTTCGTGTGTGGCGGTGGGGGGATTAAGGCTCTGTTTGGCAAAACTAGCTAAAAGCTACGAGATTATAGCTGAAAGCTGTTAAGCTAGCTGAAAGCTGTAAAATTGTAGCTGAAAGCTGTTAGCTGTGTAGCTAGCTGATTGACTAGAGCTGTTTGGCAAAAGTAGCTGTACAACTAGCTTAAATTTATTAAATGACTAAAAAAGACATGCAATATTATTGATATAAAATTAGAATTATTATGGGCAAAAACGGAAGAAAAAAATTGGCAGCTCCTTCCCAAAGACAAACGCTACTTGAGATAGCTTTCCAAAAGCTACTTGCAAAAGACACAATCTTCAAAATAATCTCCTCCTATTTTTGGTCACCAAACAGCTCTACTAGCTTATTGACCAAGTCAATAAGACACAAGCTCTTAGATAAGACACTTTTTTTGGTTGCCAAATAGCTAAGGAGTTTAGTGTGGAAAAATAGAGTTTCGAGGGTTAAATAGTAACCATGAAAAACGTCAGAGGGTTTGGTGAAATTTACTCTTTTCTTTTCACTATTTTGGAACTTATCGTACAAAGTACAAAAATGGACCCCCTCGATGTCCCCGGCCACTCATTCGAAGGATGCCGTGTCTTAATCTTATCGTGGGCTTTGCTTTCGCAACAGGAAACTTTTTTTAAGTACTAATTTGGCAGTGCCTAGACCCTAGATATCCCAAAGGAGGAAAAGAGGAGGGGAAAAAACGTAGAATATATAACTTTCAGTTTTCAAAAGGCTTCTCGAAGCATGTTTCTAATGTTGAGTTATTTGAATTATGACTTGTTGTTCAATTTGAACGCCATTGCGATCTTTCTTTTGCATAGTTTGCTTTTGTAACAAACTTTTGATGTTGCAAGCCGCACCTAGTTAGTAGGCTGCAATTATATATAGTTGCAATGCAAGTGTCATTTGCATGTAACTAAGATGACGTAACTCTTCTTATTCGCAATTGCAGTTGTAAACTTGTAATTATTTAGTTCATTTTTTAAATTTATATCTTATAGTTGCAGTTTTGTTTGTTTGATTTATTACATTCATATAAAACTTTCTTTTACCATTAACATATTGTTAAATTATTAATTCAATTTTTATATTTTCTTAAATATTTATTTTTTGAAAAAAATAAAGATTTTAAAAAGGGATTTATAGAGCTTTTAGTTTTTTAAGGTTTGAAAAAAATATTAATTTTTGAATTATTTTTATAAAATAATATTTAAGGATTAAATTTTTTTAGAAAAAATAGGAAAATTTTCATTAAAAATAATATCATTAGAAAATAAATAATTTTTTAAAATGATGATATTTTCCAAAATATTAATCTTATTTCCAAAATTTTGATTTATTAAAAATATTTTTTAAAAAAGGAAAATAATATTTTCCTTTTGGAAATAACATATTTATAAAATAATAATTATCCTAAAAATAATATTTTTTCATAAATTTTACATTGATTAAGAATTATAATTTTTAGGAGATAATAATTTATAAAAATACAACGTTTTTTAAATTAATACTATTTTTTAATAAAAAATAATTAAAATAAATTTTTTCTAAAAATGTTTTGAAAAACATGTTTACCTAAAAATAATATTATTCAAAAAAATATTATAATTTTTCTCAAAAATATTTTCAGAGAAAATTTTGTTGGAACTAATTGTTTAATATATTTTTTAGAATCATAAAGAATAAAAAATAAACGCAATACTCTTTTAAAAATTTATTTTAAACTATTAATGAATTTCATAGATTTTTTGGAAATGTTAAAAAAATTGATGTTTTATAAAAGTTGAGTTGGTTGCAACTAGGCATGTCCATCCGGGCAGATCCGAAAAACCGGGCTCGGGCCCAGACCTAAGCGGGCCGGGCTCCGGACCGACCCAGATTTTTTTTTAATTTTTTTTTAAAAATTACCATAAGTCATAAAATATACATAAAAATTAAAGATAATGCTAATAAAAACAATCATATTATTAATAACTTGAAATGACATAAATTACAAGTATAAGAAATTATAAAAATAAAAGATGATAAAAATAACTTCTTTATTAATAATCAGTAAATCATTTACAAGTATAAATTTATTTCGGAATTCGTCACATCATAATAGATGAGTACATCCCAACTAGGTTGGCACATACTCACTTATCTCACTATCATTTGTAATTGTTTTTGAAATAATTCATTACAAATTTAAAACTAATAAATAAAAATTACAATTTAATGAATATT